GAACCTTTTCTTGCAGAGAATAGCTCATGGCCTTCTTCCAAAATTTTGATTCTCTTGAGGCTGTGGTCTATGATATTTCCTTGCTCTGACTACCACCATGCGGTCATCACACCAGCAATATTGTTGATGTGCGAATATTTGATGCGTTGCCCCATTGTGACCGGTCGGGATATTGCAATTGGCTCTTTCTTGTGCTCTCTGCTGCTCTATGTATGTTAATAAGCTAATTGTATTTTTTACATTAATGTAGCTTTGTTAGTTACCTCTGATAACTTCTATTTTATTTTGCATTTGTTAAGTGAATGTTTGCGTTGTTTTATATAACTATTCTTTTTCCTGGAGTACCTTTTCTGCTATTTTTCTCAAGGAAAGCTCCATTTAAAATGCAGGTAGCCAAACAATCTTTGAAGTTCTGTCCTGAAGCAATAAACTTTCTCCTAACTTTGTTGATCGCAGCTGCTGGTAGAAGGTCATTACCCTCGCAAAATCCCCAGGTATACTGAAAAGTTCACACCATTATTTTTTGGTTGTCTTTCGTCCACTGTCCAAGTATTCCCATTTGCTTGTAGTATAACTATTGCCAATGACCAAGGATACCCATTTTTTTTCAGCAGATTTGTAATCTAGTGGATTTACAAGCACTTGGGCAGTTGCTGCGTATACAGAATCCTACAAACGAGATTACCCCCCTGGACTTCTTCTTTATGATGAATTTGACTGAACATTCTTCCATTTTTAGCTCCGACAGTTACAGGTACCTGTGTGTGTGGGTGCGCGCGAGTCAGTATGGTCTTTTCTATGCACTTTGCTATAGTCGCATCCACTTTCCACTTTTCTCTCTTCTTTTTTCTAGTTGGGGGAGGGAGGCATGGGAGTTACTCTAGCGTTTTAACGAAATTGATCTTGTGAGCGAAAAGTTTCTAAACTATTCCAAATGAAAAAGAAGTGGCCAAACTCTTAGTTATTGAAGGATGCTAGGAATATAGATTGAGACGTTCCTTTTGGCTCCTATCACCATGCATATGATTTTCTATACCTACCTTGCCAAGTTTCAACAACTACTTAGATCTTGGTCGCGTGGTATTTATTTTTGTTTGTGACTGACGTACTTGGAAGAACCGAGTAGAATACATTTTCATTAAGAACTGAATATCCATTTAGACGTTTCGTATTATATATATATTGATAATGATATTTTATGCATTCAGTAAGGATAATATCAATTTCACATCTTCCAACAATAGATGAAGGTTTAGTCTTTAAAACTGCAGGGCCGGGGTGCTGTTGACAGTTATTGAAACTCTTGATGGATTTGTTAACGTATATGGTCAATTGAAATCCTTCCCAGAAATCTTCATGCCATTCTCGACAATTTTACACGAATTGGCACTGCAGGAGAACATGCCGGATGTATTACGTGATAAATTCAGAAAAGTTGCTGAAGCAATTGAAGCCAAAACGGAGGAGTTTTATATGGGGCGGCAACCTCTTAGAATGAGGAAGCAGAAGGCTGTGCCAATCAAATTACTCAATCCAAAATTTGAGGAGAAGTACTTTCCTTCTATTCCATCTTTAATTTTATTCATGCTCTCTAGTGGTTCTTCCTCAGTAGGAGCCTCAAACAGAGCACTAATGGTTGCAATTTCTTGTTCTTACTTCCGCAGCTTCGTTAAGGGCAGAGACTACGATCCAGATCGTGAACGAGTTGAAAAAAGAAAGCTGCAGAAACTTTTAAAACGTGAAGCTAAAGGAGCAGCCCGTGAACTACGCAAGGATAACCATTTCTTGTTCGATGTGAAGGCAAGAGACAAGGCACTGCAGGAAGAAGAAAGAGCAGAACGATACAAAAAGGCGAGCGCCTTCCTTCAACAACAAGAGCATGCCTTCAAATCGGGGCAGTTGGGAAAGGGAAGGAAGAGAAGAAAATGAAACCAATGGGGGGTTTGATTTGTGTTTCATAGTCTGTCTCCAAGAGGACAAACAAAACACCACATCATACACTGCCATGAAAGCGAATCAACCACGAAGAAAGAACGAGCAACCACAATTCAATTCGATCGATCGAATCGTATGCATTTGCTTCCCTAGAGAACCAATCATATTTATCGTGTTTGTTACTCATCCAGTTCATTGAATAGCTTCATGCGTATGAAGCCTCTTTGTGGTTTGGGTCCTGTTGTGCATGTATACTAACGGACTAATTATAGGTTCATGCCTCGTAGGGGCAACCATGAGATTATTAGGATGATGATATAAATGAGGTTAAAATTAGTTTTAGGGTGTTATGGTCATCGTGCAATCAATTTTGTCTCCCAGCATTTTTTATGTAAAAACTATAAAATTAGTCTTTAAAGTTTATGATTTAATTCCTGCCCTAATCAGATTTCTTGCCCAAGTAGATTAATTAATTAATTAGAGACTTTTTAATTATATAAAGGCTTAAGTTCGGTTTGGAACTTGGGCCACCGGTTTACTATCTATTACCGGCCCAATATTAAGGTCGGTCCAGTCTGTAAACAAGGCCCATTACTCCTTGTAATATCATACTAATTGTTAGTCTATAATTAATTTTTTTTATAGTATCTATTATTTATATTTTTTTTTTTTAGTTTTTATGGAATAAAAATAAAAATTATTAGTTTATTAAATTCAATAAGGCTCAAACAAACCATAAAAACTCATTTTAAAAATTATTACTATTAAAGAGATTAGTCTTTAACATTGACTTAAAAAAAAAAAATCGATTTGAACAACGATGTCAAATTGATGGCTTCGGTGCGCCACCATATGAGGTTAGAGCACGACACTGCAATCAGTTGTCTTCTTTGTGTACAATATTCTTTTGGTTCGCTACAACCATTCCTTTTGGAGCCCTTTGTTCAACCCCTAAATTTACTTATTAAAAAAAAGAAAAAAACTAACTTTCTTCTAAATTTAAGGATATTTTAAAATAAATTAAAAATGAAATAACAAAATTTATTATTTATTATTTATTTTATTAACAATTACTAAAGGCTAACTTCGTAATTAACCATGGTTGCCATGTTTATAATATTTTATTAATAAAGAACTTCCCAAAAACTGGATTCTCCACGTGGGACAAGGAATCAAAGCACGCAAATAGATAACTTTTTAAATATATAAATTCCAAAAAAAAAAAAGTAAAACGCATCGTTTTTAGTAATAAGAAACTGCAGCAAGCCCAAAAAGATTTATTTATTTATTTATTTATTATGTTTCATGCCATATTAATTATATTTGCATCCTTCATATGTATTATACATTAATATTTAGGCTCAAGACTAAATGCAATGCATTCCTCAAACATTATGACTTATATTGGTTTATTTTATAATTTTACTTTTTAATACTAAAAAATTTAACCCAATTTTTATCGTGGCTATGAATTTCTTTTGTATCTATAATGTTTGGGGCTGGACAAGATGACCTAAAGTATTCATTTTTCATATCGCTCGATTATGTTATGGAGTTTGAAATTTTAGAGATAAAGAATGCATATTTAATAATAAAGTTCGTTTATATTCTCCTCTGCCATAGGAAAAAAAAAAAAAGAAAAAAGAAAAAAAAAGTATTGTTCTTTAAGCTTTCTTGCCACAACCAAATTGCTTTTTCCCATTCCTTTTTTTACACCTAAAGATATTCAAAAGAACTTTGGCAAAAGCTTTGAAATTTAGGGCAAAAACTTATTGGAAAACTCCCAATTGTCTCGATTCTTTCAAATCAATATAATTACGAAAAGATTCGGGCAAAATTATCTAAAAATGATCTAAATAATATTACTATTCTTTTATAATCTTACCAAGTAATGAAAGTTACCATATATATTAAAAAAAAAAAAAAAGAGTTGAGAATAATTGTAATGACTCGATGTTTTAGATAATAGGCTTCAATATCGATAGTATATTTGTCTCTACTATTTGCATGTTACTAGCATCTCGATTAGTGATTACATATGTCTTCCCTTACTAATGTGTTTGTTTACAAGAACCAGTATCAATTGAACTCATTCATGCCCATAACAAAATGTTCGACCTTTTTGGCCTCTGTACCCACCAACTTTAGAGTGAAGCACACAAAGCTCGTGAATTGGCGTTTATAGGTAGTTGGATTAAAAAATTCAACAAAAACTTTTATGTGTATAGGTAGTTGGGTCTCCATTAGTGTCAAGGGATCTCATAGCAAGTCATCCCTCGCATAAACACGACACAATGAACCTTATGTTTGAATGAGTTGGAAAATAGTTTACACAGAGAATAGTCATAATTCTATCGATGGGTCTCCTAAGAACCCATCAAAAGTAGAATGGTTGTACGTCGCTTATAGAAACAAGCACGATTCTAAAAGAAGTTAAACGCCATGATATAATGGATTGAAGCGTCATGTGCTCACTTTTTGAAAGTCGGGAAGAAAATTAATTCCTTTAATGGTTGTTTAGAAAAGATTAAAAATATGTGTTTGTTGGGGGGAAAAAGATGAAAGAATTTGCTTTACACAACCAAATTCATAGATTATGTGTGTGTCTTGATCTGAAAGTGATGTTTAAAAGGCCACAATCATCAATTCTCCCTCTAGATTATGTTTAATAATAATACCAAAAACTACTCAAAGTTCAAACCACTATACCCATTCCATATTGGAGGATGAAAAAGGTCAAAAGCTTCTTCAACTTTCAAAGTCTCCTTTAAAAAAACAAAAACCCAAAATATGAAACAATTAACAACATCCTTCCACCTTGGTTCCTCCACCGTTGCAAATTTCGTCCAACTCTTGATTCTAACCACGTCATGTTACTCCTTCAAAGCTTAGTGTAACCATTCGCTAGTAAATATTGTTTTCTTTGGACTCACTTTCTGTCTTTGAGGGAGAGGTTTCCACGCCCGTGTTTCATTCTTCTCTCCAACCAATATAAGACTAACACACTAGAGACTTATTAAACATAAAAACAAAAAAAAACTTTCATTTTGGTTAAGTCGGGGAAATAAAAGCTAAAAGAAGAGCCTAATTCTTCTGAGTTATGTACAAGAAGGAAGGAGCTGATGCTGCTCCATGTTTTGGTTCCTATGTAGTATTTATGGTGCATTTACATGATGGGCTTAAATCAATTCAGTAGCAGTAAATCTCCTTATGATTATGACCTTATTAACCCAAAATTTACAAAAGATCTAGATCTAAAAAGACCACCAAATAAGAATCTAGTTGGTGAATCCTGAGAACCTTGTTTTTGTTCTTTTGGACTGCCTTTCACTTTCAGTATTGTTTGCCCGATCAAATCTCGAATTGAATCTATCGTCTTCGAATCGACTGGATACCCCGACGCATCACGAACGTAGAACGTATTAATCGCCTTACCGCCTTTAGTTGATACCTCTGCTCTTGTGACAGTCAGGCTGTTCTCTCGGAAGATGCGGGTGACATCAGAGAGAAGGCCTACTCTATCTGTTGTGCATAACTCAAGCTTCAAGCCCTGAAAAACAAGATAGAACAATGAATCAACAATTCGTACAAAGCGAAAAAACTCGAACGACCGCAAAAAATAGTCAGTTAGTTTCAGTGATATGGTCGTGTTCTTCACGCACCTCAGACACTCTTCTCCTTATAGCAGCTTCAAGACATTTAATTACCCTTTGTTTCTCTGCATCAGATTTAACAGGAGATCCATCTATATGTCTAATGTAATATTCCTACAAATTCAGAATAGAGATCATAAGCCTAAAGAACAAGTCCACATTGTCTCTAAGTTGCTAAAGATGCAAGTGATTGCAATCTTACCTGATAGGCTTCTGTCCCTTCAGCAACTACATTGGCATGGAAGACCACATATTGCATATCTGTCAACGTGCAAATCGTGTCGAAAAGAAGTTTCGGGCGATCTTTGCTCCGAATTGTAATGACAGAATAGTCTATGTCACACCAATTAACAACCTTGACATTAGGCCTTTGCTTCTCGTCCATTAAATCTTCACCAAGAAGTTCATAGTCCCTATCAGCAAACATCATCTGATGAAGCCTTCTGTCAATGTGAGTGACTCCTTGAGACACGACCGTCTTAGCTCCATTGGTCCTATTGTTGCTTCCCCTTAGTACATTACAGAGTAATCCCTTGATCCTAGATAGCCTCTCAAGATCAGTAATTGCAGAACCAGTTTCGTCGTCGGTGACATGCATCACGGCGGCCGCCCGTGTGTTGTGAGTCCACACCTCGGCGTGCACAACGTTGCATTTGAGGTGAGTGAGGACAGCGCTGAGTTCAGAAAGTAATCCTTGTCTATCATTTCCAATAAGCTCAATTGCTGTGTAATCAACCGATGGTTTTACACCCACAGATCTCATGGAAGATGCAAAACAAGAATCCGACTCAAGCGACTGAAAACCAAAAAACATAACCGCGTTGAATTAATTGAACGAAACACATGAAAGAAAGAAAGAAAGAAAGAAAACAATACAACAGAAAGATAGAAACAGTCACATAGCACATACCCTTTTGATATAGTCTAAAACCCCTTCATCTGTAACTTTGTTTCCATCTTGATCAGTGACATTAAAAACTGTCCAAGAAGCCAAAGCCACATGAAAATCCTGATCGGGAGAGAACCAATAAAAGAGAGAAAAATGGGAAAGAGAAACTTACCATCCATGAACCAACAACCATCACAAGAAATATAGGCTTTGGTGACGATGAGATTAAGATCAGTAAGAACTTGAACGACTTCAAGAAGAATCCCATGTTTGTTGGCGCTATCTACCTGCAACAAAATGGTTGAAATGAGCATAAAGTAACCCAAATGGAAGACCTCAGCAAAAAAGAAACAGAGTTCAAAATCATATACCCTTATAACAGTAGCATCCTTACAGGCTTCATTGTCAATAACAACCCTGGAAAAAGACATGACTTAAAAGCTTAATTTTTGTACAGAAGAAAGCTGTGTTTTTTTTCTTCAGAGAAAGGGAGCAAATTATGAACCTGGTTGGATTCATTCTTCTAATCAGCTTCACATATTCATCATCAATATCATGGGAAAAGTTCATGTCGATTGCTGGAATAAGAGAAAAGGGGTAAATAGACTAACAAATAAAACACGCCATGGTAATCTTGTAAAGCCAATCAGAAAACAAGAGTATCAAAAGCCATGACCAGACCATCTAGAGAGAGAGAGAGAGAGAGATCTGAAAATGATAAGGAGGAAAAGAGAAGAATCCCAAACAAGAAAACCAGAGAAGAGACTAAAAACCAAGTAAGAGAAGAACAGAGGAAAGGGAAGGAGAGACAGAGAGAAAACCAAAGAGAACATACCCATTTTCGATCTCTGAGGATTTTGTAATCTGTTCAGAATGTTGAAGGTTTCTTCTCAGTTTGTTCTGAAAGGCCGCCAACAAGGCTTTGTATTCAACGAGAAAGCAAAGGAGAGGATTATATACACAAGCCAAGGGAGATCTCGAACTCGCTTTGGGAAGGTTTGAATGAAACGAAGTATTTTAAAAAATCATTACTTTTTTTTTTTTTTTTTTTACCAAAAAGATATTAGTAAAAAAATAAGACCTCCCGACACGATACTCCAAAACCTGCAACTTGAAAAAAGTACAAGAAAACACACAACACTTCTTCCCCACTTCCATCTTTCTCTCTCTGTCAAACCCTTTTTTTCCGATTATTTATTCATAATGGAGATTTAAATCTCCATTATTTGGTCTCTTTGTCCTTGTGTTAACAATTCCAATCTCAGTTATCCTGAATAAGTACATTCATATCATCATACGTGGAAATTTCCTCGAAAACAAAAAAAACCCAAAAAGGACCAGAGGACTCTAGCCGGCGGGAACATTGACCGCCGGCGCCGGTACCATCACACATGTGGCGGTGGGTTTAAAGCCCGAAACAGCTCCAAGGTCAGTGGAGCTGGAAAGAACCCGAGGGCGCTAAATCTCCCCACAACTTCCGGCCAATTTTATCGGGTGGAGATTAACCCTTATAACTGTTCTTTTTGTGTTGTTTTGACAGATTGAGTGATAACTAAGGATGCAATAACTATGATTAGTTGCAGTTGAACAGTTCATTGAAAATGAATAAAGCTGGCAGCTTCCATTTCATTTAATTACACAGCTTAGGTCAATACTCTGCCAATTCTTCATTAAAATTAAATTCAGCCTTCAACAGAAACCATAAACTTGGTCCCTTTTACTTTTCTTTGAAATAATATAATACAATTTTAGTAGTGTCTAATAAGTTCAAAAATTTAATATATTGAATGTGATAAATGTCTAAAACTAAAAAATAAGTGGTAACTGGTGTTCTCCAACCCTTGTCATAAATTTAAATAAAATAAAATAATCATATAAATTATTAACAATGACATTTTTTTTTGGCATAACACAGAAAGTTCAACAAGGACTTGGTGGATGACCAAAATCAATGAAATAGTTGGACCTTCGAGATTCTAGGTTGTTGGAGAGGTAACAAAACTTTTTTATAAGGGTGTAAAAAGATATTTCTACTAAATTGTGAGATTAACAGCCATACGTAAAGGACCAAAATAGACAAAATTTAATAGTGATAGATTTGAACTATTAAGATATCTATCATCCTTAGAACCAATTTATCATCCAGTTCTTAAATTCCAAATAAAGTTAAAATTTAACATAAGAGCAAAATCAGATCCGAAGCCCACAACGTTTCTTCCCTATTTTATAAAATAATACTTCAAATCAAGTTTACAGATAAGAGAATAATTTAAAATTATTAAGTAAAGATTAAATTCATACTAATTGGACAGAACCAACTGGTTTGATAAATGGGCATTCATTTCAAAACACTGTGCATGCAGCATGCCTATTACTTTAATTGAACAAACCCAACAATAATTTTCTATTAATAAATTTTTGACAAACTTCATTAAAATCGCCCTTAAAAAAAAAAAAAAGAAATCAAATCAATGAAGAAACACACATTCAATCCCGGGCAAAGAGTGAGCAGAGGGCTAGAAGGGAACAGCCGAAATACAGCTCGGATAGCAATAAACATCAGACAGAAACCAATCAACTACCAGAATTTCAGTGTCTAATTGAATCCATTCACCGTAATGTACGATATGCATTGCTATTAAGATAATAAACTAATAGTTCATGGAGGGGATGTTAGTTTACGAATTTAAATACTATTTTAGTTTAGTTTATTTTCTCGATAGGATTAATTCCAAAGGGTGCATTTCAGACACCATTTAATAATAGAGGTTTTGAATAAATAAAAGCAAAATTAAATGAAAGTTAAATGTTTAGGTTTGTTTTGATGACCACTTGATTTTTGGCTTTTGATCTTCAAAAATTAAGCATATAAGAATTATTTCAAAGGGTCATTTTTTTACTTTTTGATATTTGAAAATTAAACATATAAATATTATTTCTACATATGAGTTTCTTCTAGATTAGGTTATATACTTTCTATAAAAGTGTTTTTAAAATTCGAGCCAATTTTGAAAATTAAAAAAGTATTTTTAAAAATATATAAACAAATATATTTTGTTGATTTAGTTAAGTTTATCAAATGTATTGAATTTATTATAGTTAGGCAAAAAAACAAAACCCAACTACTCGGTTTGGCATTTTGTCAAACACTTGATGCGCATACGCGTGTGGTTAAGGCCAAGCAAACAACAATTTAAACTAAACCTAGCAGTGGGTTTAATTATAATTAGGCAATACAAAGCAACACACTAACCTGTTGGTTTTGGCATTTTGTCAAACACTTGGTGCGCGCGCACACACGCGTGTCTTAAGGCGACTGCCGGCCGGCCTCGTGGGGGTGTCACATGGTCCCTCATTCTGAGCTCCCCAATTTCTACGATGCCTGTTTGTGCGATTTAGAGCAGACTCTTTTTCTCTCTGTCCTTCTGAATTCGTAGCTGCTGCAGTTCAATTTCAGGCCTATTAATGGTGTAGCCAAGTGGACGAAACAGAGACGCTTATATAACTTTTTACTTACAGAATGAATGAACGAATGAATGATCGCCAAAAACTGGGCTACCACTTCGTTGTGGCGCGCTTTTTTTCTTCAGAATCCGCAGAATTTGCTGATCTTTCTTTTGCCTCTCCGTTTCTTGATGAACATTGATTTTTGATTGATGATAATGGATGGATCTTCTTCGGGCTTTTCAATACAGAATCGGTTGCTTTGGGATGTACGATTCAAAGGTTCTGAAAAGACAAGGCGTTCCATGATGGTATTGCAATCTGAACCCTCCTCTGTTCATGTGGTAATTTTCGGATTTTACAAATTTAAATCGAAATTATTATTTTATATTATGAAAAATAATAATAATAAATAAGTAAAATTTATGAAATTTATTTAAATTTAGTTAATTCACTCACTAGTTTGTTTTAACAACTAAAAAAAATTTAAAAATTTAAAACGCCTTAATATTAATAAAAAATTTAAAATTTAGTTTGATTTTGAAATAAATAATTATTTATATTAAAATTATTTTTAAAAAATTAACAAGAAAAATAGTTTTTTATGCAAAAATTTATATAGCGAGTTATTTGATATTTTAATAAATATATAGAATAAACATAAAAACACGTGGCTAAAATAAGATTTAAATTTAGAGAAATTGTTCTCGTTTAATTATTATTTCATCCCGTTCATTAAATACTAAAATTCCATAATTTAAAATTTTAGAGATTGAAAAATAAATAAAATGAACGTTTTGAGTCATAAATGATTTTAATTTATGACAATTCGAACATATTCATTGAATAAGACGCTTTTAAAATTTAATAATTTTTTCTCACGTATCATTGCACGAGAATTATAATGTTTGATAAATCATTAAATTATACTATAGGTGTAACGGGTCATTATACTAATTAAACAACTTTATCCTAATTAATATATTTAATAATGTATTTAATGGGCTTTTTAATCTTCTCTCGTGCTCAATTAAAATTCTTATTATTTTTGTAATTAGGTAATTAAATTAATTAAGAACTAATTGAGATTAGTGGACGCTAGTCTACGTCTACACCTATAGTATAGCGTGGGGCCCACTGTAAATTTCAACGGTCAAAGCTTTTGACCGGTAATCAGAGGGGTTTTTCGATATCATCGCGCGCTCACGTGGGACCAGTAGTAAGCGCACGTGATATCCGGGGCGGCGCCACCGGCTGAAAACGAGTCGCAGGGAGGAATGAGGGTATTTTTGGAATTTAAATTTAATAGTATTATTTTTGCGTAAATTAAAGAAAATATTTTGTATTTTGCTGATTATTTCAAAATATTATTATTACTTTATTTTCTTTGATAAATGTTAACGATAATCCACATGTTTAAAAGGTTAAAAAAAGATTAAATATATTATTTGTAATTTTTAAATAATAAATAAAGTTATGAGATATTTTTTATTATTCTTTTTAAAGTAAAGCTTTTGGAAGTTGGGAAGGGTCGTTTTTGGTACCTCGTAGTTGCCACGTCAACGGTCCACGTCGGAAGATTGAAATTGGAGCATGGGCCCACTTATGATTTAAAATAAATAATTTATTTATTCTTGTTGTTTTTATTTGGGCCCCTAATTTGCGTGAATATTATTATGGAGAGTTTCGAGTTCCCATAACCACGTTTTCAACCCCCGTTTTATGGAACCCCATGCATGCGTGTCGTTTGCTGACTGGGTCTTCGTGCTTGCTCTAACCAGCTTTTTTATTTTTCAATTTAAAAATATTTACAAAATTTTATATTATAAATCAAAATAATAATCATTTCATTTGAATATCATATTTATGAGATATTATTTACTTTAAATATAAATTCCATCAATAAAAATAATTCTTTCATTTATAAATTTTAATTTCAAAAGAAGAAAATGATGTCCCATCAATAAAAATAATTATCTCACTTATAAATTTTAATTTCAAAAAGATGGAAATGATGTTTTAGTCATTGAACTATGTTCGTGCATGAAATTGAAAAAAACGTGTGATAAAGAAGCTCACACGCAATAAATAATTTAAGCTATACACTTTTTCTCGAGTAGGCTTTTCAATAATTCTAACAAAATGATATTTACGATATCTGTGATACTTACTATTGGCCCGAACAAATGTTGAACTCGAATAAAAAATATTAAAATTAAAACAAAACTAATAATTTATTGTAGTTAGAACTAAAAATTTGTCTTCCAACTCCCCTATCTCCCACTTTCTTATCTGAATTGTAATATACTTTTATAAAAATTAATATAGTGATCTAGTTGATCACTACCCTATTTTTGTTTGTTTTTATATATATATATATATATATATATATATATATATATATATAGAGAGAGAGAGAGAGAGAGAGAGAGAGAGAGAGAGAGAGAGAGAGAGAAAATGAAGGGACAAGAGGAACATGTTTCCTGCGACCATCACCTCCTTGCTTCCTCATGTACTGGTCTCCCCACCAGCTGATTGGCCCACAAAACCTACTACCTTCGGCCCAAATTTATTGCAAAGAATGTCTAAACCTAATTAAAATGTCGTAAAAATAAAAAAAGTAAAGAAAATACAGGATGTTCATGGCCCACTTGGGCTAACTTGACAAACATTTGCAAAAGTCCCAAGCTTTCTCCTACTGATGTTCTAGATCTCTATTTAGGCATGATAAGAATGTTTATCCTTTCACCTTCCAAGTGTTTTCATTTTCAAAACAAAACAAATACGTGACTTTGCAGAAGTTAATCTTGGTTACTAACGAAGATTTTGCATGCCTAGAGCGATCCGAGACGCAAAAACGACTTTATAGCTCGATATCGGGCACCCCCGACAAGAATGAACCGGGATCATCTGACCCAAGTAGTGGCATGTATTCTGAACCTCTAACATGAACACTGAAGCAAGCTGCAAAGAGTAAAAACAGGTTGAGATATGTGAAAGATATGAATAACATTTGATCTGATTTCAGATTAAGAGTTTCCAAGTCACAGGCTTAAATTGAGTAAACTAATGAAGCCCATTCCCAACCTTGGGCCACAACTACCAAAATTTACTAGTCTTTAGTGAATTAATGATTTTCAGCCCAATGCCTGTCAGGCATGGACAATAACCCATATCTTGCTCATAGCTGCATCATTTCTTTTTTAGTTCAACTTGTGAGGGTATAGGGTTTCTATGAGTTACACCAGCGGGGGAACGAAGCGAAGCGTTCCTTATAAGAGTGTGGAAACCTCTTCCTAATAGACATGTTTTAAAATTATGTGACTGAGAGCAATATGTAACAAACCAAAGTCGACAATATTTGCTAGCAGTGGACTTGGACTATTACGAATGGTATCATAACTAGACACCGGGCGATGTACCAGCGAGAACGCTGGGCGGATTGTGAGATCCCACATCGGTTGGAGGGGGGAACAAAGCATTCCTTATAGGTGCGTGGAAACCTCTACCTAATAGATGCGTTTTAAAATCGTGAAGTTGACAGTGATATGTAATGGGTCACAGACAATATCTTTTAGCGGTAGGCTTAGGCTGTTACAGTTTCAAACTTCTAACCTCTTAGTCAATCAAATATACTTCTATACAATATGATCGGGGCTCTTCACAAATCCTATCACTACTAGATAGAAACATTCTCGTTCAACGTGTTTCTGACTTTCAATGCACAAATGAAGTAGTTCATGCTCAGAATATCAAACAGATGAACGTTTAGAGAAATACCATTTTCTATCTTCATCGTACTTTGAAGCATGGTGTCCATCTTCATTTTCATATCTGAATTATCGTCCATATGTGGGACTAGTAGAGTGAGCTCACGGTAAATGTCACGAACAAATCTGCATATCTTCTTAGCAAACTCAAGTTCTCCATCTGATATTCGACCAATTGCTAACCGCATCAGTTCTCCAGTCAAATCTGCAAGCTGTATTGAGCATTTATCATCTCTTATTCTAAAACAGGGGTTTAACATGTACTAACAAAATCATTTGCGACCTCACTTGTTCATCCGTTTTCAGTAGTCGTAATAATCAGTTGGATTCTAGCGATTCTTAACCGAACAACAAGTACATATCAAAGAATGCTACTGATCTCTTTGCACATAATGTATTTTTGTGCTAATCATTTTGAACAAAATAATTCCATGAAAAGAAGCAGATCTTTGATACTAACCCCCAAGATGTAGTCGAGATTGTTAATTTGTAAAGGCTCAAGGGATGGATCACTGAGGGGTAGCAATACAGCATTTATCTCATCAAGACTCAAAAGAGTTCCTGTTTTGCAGAATTTACATAACGTTGCAGCTTCAACATATTCTTGCACCTGCAGAGGCCAACGCTAAGCAAATCAACTTATCATTAAATTTCTGGCCAAAATCGGTAAAAGACAGAAAGTTTACCCCTGGTGAGTATGCTCGCCTTAGCTTCCAGAAATCGGTCCCCTGTAGTTCATTTACAAGTCGGGACACATGCCGAGTTGTAACATCTGCCAAGTCCTTTTCTGCCTTTTCCAGAACTTCCTCTTTGTTTTGTTTACTGATTCTGTTTTAATAATCATACTACTAAGCCACATTTCCATATATAAATATATATATATTCATATTCATCATGAGTTCATACCAACAACTAGACCATGAATCCAAAATGGATCAAAGTGAAAAATTTTATAGACTGATGTGTTCAACCGTTCAAGGATCTCAAAGGTTGAAAACAGAAGACAGCCAAATAATATTATATGAAAGAAGTAAGAACACTAAGAACACGAAGAACAACTGAACAAATAGATATTAACAACGAGTTATAGTCCAACCTGTGTACTTGAAAAATGACCTTTTTGCTGTTCATTGTAATATCACGGCTTGCTTTCACCACTCTTTCCCGTTTATCATTCTGTAGATTTAGTCAATTGAATATATGAGCCCAACAAGAAAGAAAGAAATTTCAATAAATTGATGCAAACTCGAGCATTATAGCGAATTATTCTACCCCAACCCCGACTAATTATCCAGAATAGCTTTTAATACTGAATAATCAACAAATGGCTCCATAATAACAATCGCAAAGTTAGAACCATCGGCTAAATCAACTACATTGCATTTCAACGACAGCAATCCAAGCCACTAAGCCAATGATCAGAAACAGTAAACAAATTAAAGCAACCGACAACAACAACAACAAAAACAAAAAAAAAAAATCAATCTCCAGAAACATTCAGCTTCATAGCGAAATCGTCGTAGAGAAAGAGAAATGAGGCAGCAACGATAGCTACGGAGAAAATGACGAACTTACGAGGTTATTAAGGTACTCAGCATATTTAGCGAAGGCGTCTTTCATGGAGGACTGAGTGGATAATGTCCTCGCTCTTTTCGGTGAGCTCTCCACCGCTGTCCCTGCAACTGCCAACAAATTGAGATTGTAACCACAGACCAGAAGAAAACGAAAGATGATAGTGAAATAGATTTGCAAATTCAAGCGGAATGATTGCTCAAAACCCTAATTGACAGAAAGAGAGAGATCAATACCTTTATGAAGTAGCTGGGGTTTTGGTTTGGCAGCCATGAGAGCGGCCTTGTGAAATCCCGTAGCATAGAACATCTGTCCCTTCAGGACACTCGCGCGCCCAATTCCGCTCCATACATCACAAATTAGTAAATTGGGATTTTTATTTTTTTATTTTTTTAATTCTAATTTTGAGTAATTAATGAATACATTCCATATTTATTTATAAAAAATATTATAATAATCGACGTGAATATAGCTCAACACATTAAAACACATATATTCTATAGGAAAGTTGATTTATCTCTCATCTCGACTCTTGTAAAAGTCAAAATGTAGATCGTAAATAATAATAAATAAATTAATGAAACTTTTTACGTGCTAATAATAAGGATATTTTTTAACATTTTAAAAATATTAAAAGTCGTCTTTTATGTTTATGCAAATATTAATAAACTTTTGAAGTTTATAAGTATTTTTAAACGCATTAGGAAAATTAAAAATATATGTTTTAAATAAAATATTAACCTGTCTTCAACTATAATTTTTTTTGAAAAAAATGTAAAATTAGAAGATATTTTAATTAATTCAGGTTATTATTTATAAAATTAAAGTTTGAAATTTTTTAAAATAAAATTTTTGGACCAAAATTGTGTATTTATGGTATGTAAACGGCGGCGAATCTGGGAAACAGAATGCATTGCCACGGTCGCAACCGCCAAACCAAACGTGACACGGAGCCGCCGGACAGAATCACAAGAAACCGTTGGCTGATGCGCCCATAGATATTCCATTCGCAGCCTCAAAAGCTCCATCATTCTGCAACATCCAATTCACGGAGCCGCCAACGAAGAGATGACCATGGTGACGCTACTGGTGGCAACGACGATCGATCCAGCATCCATCAATCCTGCGAATGAGCTCCTCGCCATGCCCGGATGGAGCCCCGGCCCTTCTCTCCAGGTCTTCTGAACTTATCCCCCCATTTTTACCTGAAGCGGTTCTGTTTCCCCCTTCGATTAATCCGATTCTTCTGTTCTTCAGGATATAAAAAGCTTCGCTAATCGAGATGTGAGGTTACTGCTGCACGATAAGAGCATTGTGGCTGAGGACGATCTCGATAATCGATGGGAGGAGCTCACTGGCGAGGTGGTGGACGAGGTCATTTTCTTCAGCCGTCATACTGCCGTTTCGAATCGTCCTGCTCTCACTGTTCATCCGATTGGTACGATTTCTGTGTTTTTTTTTTTTTAACCTCGTTTCGGAAATGAATCGGAATTCGGAACCCTAATTTTGGTTGTGAATTGTTGTGTTCGAAAGGGGTTCCTCATCTGCTGGATGGAGAAGTTCCGCTGCAAGGAGGGAAGCCTGGATGGGCGGCGCCGCCGAGCCCTCGTATAGGCCCCTGGCTGAGGCTCTTGAAAACCATTGCAGAATCCCATAATCTAGTGCCAGAGTTTGAGGTTAACCATATTTCTCTTCTGTTTCTTTTGTACTTCGTCATTTGCTGATGAAATGCGAACTCTGAACTAGTCTTGTGAGTGTTAGTTTTGACTTCCATAGAAATTGATTGTAGATTACGTTGGAGGGTACTCATCATGGACCTGTTACAAATAAACGAACCCTGTTTCTGGAAATTGGTGAGTGTTTCTTTTGGTTTTATGCGTGTATCATGAATCTGAGGATTTTTTTAGCTTTGTTTGTTGCTTGTGCTGCTGTTTGTTTTTGTTGCTTGTGCTGCTGTTTGTTATATCTTTCTCGATTGATTGATATCCACAAGTGCTAGAGTTCAAACATGACATAGCTTAACAGGGTCCAAGAGGTGTGAATCTCCTACCCCAATTATTGTAAATTTGAATGTAAGTTTGTTCATGTTAACTTTAGAGCTTCTTATGTCATTTGGGACAGATTGGATCAATGTTGTGCATTTATTTATGTTGATGAACTAATATCAATTCCTTGAGTGCATATATTGAAGTGCTCACAAGATCATTTGCTTATGAAATACAATATTCTACTTCTGGTCAAAATGAATTGTTTCTTTCTCTGATTTTGGTGTATAGGCAGTACAGAGGATTATTGGTGTAGGCAAGATGCTGCCAAAGTTATTGCTCTAGTTGAGTAATCCTTTCCTGGATGATCATTAGGCTCTCTTTTTTCCCTGTTATCATAATTTTCACGACACAACAATGACATCATTCCTTATCGATTTACCATTTTGGATGCTTGCAGCTAGTCTGGGAAGGACTTGCTATTGGAGGAGGAATCGATGTCGGAAATTGGAACAGGTGCATAGATCGATACAGTTTTTATTTTCTCATAATATTTACCACTAAATTTCAACTAATTGTTATAAACAAGTTGTCCTCATGATTTATCATTGAAGTTCATTGCCTAGCCTTTGTTCAGTTACGTAGTTCTTTGATCTTTCCAACTTCTATTTAATCCCGTAATCGCTCTATCCAGGTGGCTTATGTTATATTGTTTCAATAGAACAAGCTTCTTGCAAGATTTTATCGAAAGTATAAGTCGCCCTTAACCTAGTAATCTTGTTTTTAAGATCAATGGTAAAATGTTGCTGGAGCTAATTCTTTCTCTTTGTATTGTCATTTCCCCCTCATTTGGAATTGGTGTCAATAGCTTCCTGATTTCCATGCCTATATATATTCTTCCCTCCCTCTAAGATATGCTTGGTCTTGTATTATCGTTTCCTCAACAAGAATACCTGTTCTTCTAAATGTTTCTTGTGTTAAACAATGTTACATTGCCATCATGAAGCAGGGAACATAGCAAGAACAATAAAGTTCTTCTTGGCATCGGGGGTGGACATTATGCACCTCGTCACATGGACATAGTTCTGTAAGTATTGACCAATTAGGTTATCCTTTCAGTTTATCAGTTAATATGTTCATCTCTTAGGCCTTCGTTTGCTAGTAATTAGTTTTCTCTTTTGTGCACATTAAAAATGTGAGATCCCACATTGGTTGGAGAGAGGAACGAGTGCCAGCGAGGACTCTGGGCTCTAAAGAATATGGATTGTGAGATCCCACATCAGTTGGAGAGGAGAATGAAACATTTTTTATAAGGGTGTGGAAATCTCTCCCTAGGAGACATGTTTTAAAATCGTGAGGTCGACAACAATACGTAATGGGCCAGAGCGGACAATATCTACTTGCGGTGAGCTTGGGCTGTTACAAATTGTATCAGAACCAGGCACTGAGCGATATGCTAGCGAGGACGCTGGGCCCTAAAAAGGGTGGGCTTGGGCTGTTACACTACTTATCCCTTGGTTTTTGGAAATTTATATATGTATGCATGTTTTCTTTGAATACTTTCAGAAAAGATGGAGTTTGGGTGAGCCACTTGCTCTCTGGATATTCCTTGCCAATGGAAGATCCAAAGCTGTCAAATGGCAATACAAGCGACAAAAGCATCGGCGGGAGCTGGAAACAATCGATTAAAGCATCGTACGAGGCTACTACTTCGGCTTTCCCTGGCGGAGAGATCATAGCACACCTCGATCACAAGTAAGTTACAGTCCGTTCAGCTTTTTGTGCTACAAAACTAGTCTTAGAGGATGATGAGATGTGATGATCTGCTTCTGGTGTTGACTTAAACAGGAGTTTCAAGAGCTGGCAGAAGACTGCCATAACAGGGTTCTTGGGTGAACTGGGCGTTAAAATTGGCAAGCCAAAGGACTTCTACTGAGATTCTTCTTTTGAAGAACATCACTTAATATTAGCTTCAAGGCTTCAGTTATTGAAGATTTTGAAGCATTCTATTCTTGCTTGCTTGCTTGAATAGCAAAGGTTGAATATTATTAAAAAAAAAAAACTCTCCTAGCTATGAAATAAACTATATTTTTGGTTTTTCTTTACTGTGAAAACGACTTTAATGTTCCGAGCAGGCACTCCCGCCTCTAACCTAGGTCGAGACCTTTCGAGATTTAGGGGCAGACAGACCCTCAAATTTTAGGGCAGACCCAATTGGAAGTTAGAATCATGAAAAGGCCAAATCCTTACTGCCCAAACAAAGCTTTCATTGACCTTTGAGGTTGTTTTTGTCATTGAATTGGGTCATCAACCCTTTTGCTTTTATTTTTATATTTTAAAATATCAAACCATTTAAAGAAAAAGGTATAATAAAAGCAAAGTATTTATTGGCTTTAAATTTATCTAGGTCATTATTTTAAAATACCATTCAAATATGAGCTGTAAAATATTTTTCTCAAATTTATTTAGTCTTTTTTAGTTATTAAATATTTCATTTCCAAAAGTTGCTATTTTTAAAATGCTACCTATCTATTTATATTGAAAAAAAAAAAAAAAAGCCTTAGTTATGTAAAATATTTGAAATTCATAGACCTATTAAATACAAGTAGTTTTGGTCGTAATTTTTTAAAATTAACGTTCTTGGTTATTTTATTTGAATTTTGATCTTATTTGATTATCGTATCAAATTCAAAACTCAGTTTTGAAAATAGTTTCTCAAATCTTCGGGAATAAACGTATATTCTCCTCGTAATAATTTATTAAACATTAAAATTAAATTTTAAAAAAATTAAATAAAAAGCTTTATTTAAACATTGACTTCAATCATAAATATGAACTTTATTATATAGTTTTTAAATTAAAATTAATTTTAAACCATATGTATTATAAAATGTCAATATCATTAGTTTGGACTTAGTTATTTTTACGTTATAAAATAATAAACCTTAGGATCTAATTTATCAAATTAATAAATATACTATTTCATTTTTATTAAATTAAAACAGGTTGAAATAAAATATGTTATTTGAGATTCAACTGTATTTTTATTTGGGTTTTTTTTTTTAAAATTTGTATAATTACGTATATATTTTATATAGTTACAGAATTGAGTAAACAATTTTAAATAACATTTAATAATAATTTATTTTGAACCATTAGTTTATAATATGTTCATTTTCCACGTCAGATAATAATCAACGGCTGAAAATTGATCCAAATCTACACAACTACCCGGGTCCACTAACATTACGTCAACAATCGTCATGTGAAAGCTTCCATCTACTCGTGACACGTGTGAGTCTATTAACCCTCCGGCACCACCTGTCCCACCACCATCAAAATTTCCATCGTATTAC